TCTTGGTGGTGGTAGTAGAAACACCAACATCGTCCGTGTCGGCGTATCTTTGAAGGGCTTATTTTCCAACTGCTTAGCATGCTAAGACATATTATATTAGCACCCCATGTATTTTTTATTAGAGCGGAACAATTCGAAGAATTAGGTATATTTATTTCCTGAGCGGAACAATTATGCGGAACCACTTCGTTTTTCTTCGGCACAAATCAGATTGGGCGAGAATATTTTTCTTACATTCGAAATATAGCCAGCATTGACGTGCATATCTGTGCTATCGTTTCCCTAGAAATGTCTTGATTTCTCGATCCAAATCGATCTATGGTATAGATAGTGCTGTCGTAAAAATTGTTACTGCTGCATCACATCACAGAAATGTACTACTCGAGTACAAGTGCTGTACTACACAGCTGAAAGTCTATTAGACAGACTCAAAGGCACGGTCCGGGATCAGGCACTCTCACTTGTTCCATCCCCGATCGTGGTAGACATGCGGGCAAGCATTGATGTCGTGCCCCTTTTACAGCTTGGTACCTGCGGGGTACCCGACAGGAAGCCCGTCGCGCGGCAAGAAAGCGGTGTCGTGCCGTGTCGAGTCGCAGCGCGTCTGGTGATGGTAGTGGCACCCCCTATTCAACTTGAAACAAAATTACTGCAATACCCGCTACGACTCGTCCGCTTACTGTGTCTTCTTGCCGCGCGACAATTCTCCAAGTCGGGTACTCGAGAGGTGCACGAAAAGGTTTCAGAAGCTCGCTCGGCCGCAATCCACCACCTCCGTTCACAAGTCCCGCCTTCCTCTGTTGCAGCCACGCTAGCGCTGCAAAAGGGCGCGGGCGCGGTTGCGGCAGCTTTCGGATACTTGCCAATAACATGGCGGTCAATGTTACTGGCGCTGGAGCAGCTGGAGCAAGCCGTTCGTGAAACTCGTCCGAACGCACCCTCCTCCACCCCATTGTGAAATGCTGTTGACAACAGGGGGCCTTATTCGGAGCGTACCCGGGGGTTTATTTTGCGTCCATTTTTCTTCTCCAGACCTACTCGTTATCTCCACCTTCATAATTGAACACCCCTACACATCCTCTTTATCCATGGACAGCCACATTACCCGTATGTTACTTTGGTACCAATCCAATGTTGAGATTGGTGTTCTTTACACTTATAGGAAGACTATCAATTTAACCCTCATAAGAGGTCGAGAATGGTGGAATTTGAAGGGGTCGTGCTGTGGTTGTCAGATGAAGATTTTGAGGGTTTGTATGCGTGTTACGGAAACTGGATTGATAGGATGAGATTAAACGTTTGGCGTTGCAATCTTTACACCGTCCTGCATTCGAGCGCGGTTTTGTAGGAAATTTTGGGGAATGGACTTTTGGAAGTATAAGTCATTGTGGTTCTCAAAATCAATTTGGTGATTGATTAAATTCGTGACTCAAGCACAAATACCTCAAAAGAGGGGAGGAAGGCGTTGAACTTTCCCGCTTCCATCTGATTACAACTAATTCATATCGTCTCAAATCTGACACAGATCCGATCCCAATATTGTTCTGAACGAATAATTCTTTATTGATTTTGTTCAGAACGATAAGCGCACTGGTACTGGAGGGAACCAAAAGGTGTCCTCACAGGTATCCCTCCCTTTTCAAAAACGAGAAGAGCGTCGGGTGCAGACCATACACCACAAGTGACGACGGCCTCCAAGTAAATCTGGTTAGTAGTGGTTCATAGTGATAGCTGATTTTTGGTAAATGATTGTTGTAATTAGTGACAACTGATAGAATACAACTGCAACAGGCTGATCATTTCGTTGGCAGAAAACATTATACACATTTTGTCGGGTCTGTCTGTCACCTTATGTGGTGTTGGTCGTACCCGGCCGCGTCCTTTCGCGTTTTGTTAAAAGCGAACGTACAAGACAAGTGCTAACACAACGTTTTAGTACACTTTCAATACGAGGCCGTCGTTTTTTTGTCTCAAATACCTGGTCGAAAAATCACTCTTTCTTATCTTCATATTTTTAACAATTTCCCTAATTTCCAGAATAAAAATAAAAATGCTGCAGTTTCTGCTTCCTCTGCGCTCTTCGCCGCTATCATTCGCTTTGGACTGCATGGAAGGAAAGGATGTTGGTGTAGAATGCGATCAACCGCCACAACGGATGTTCTACTATGACAGTCGATACAGTTGGTTTTACTCTCATAGTTGGGTCAGAAAGGAAGAGAGAAAGGAACATTAAATCCGAGCAGAGGAAACGAGAAGAATAATTAAGCGAATAAATTCGGGAAGTCCTTCTTCTGCTTTCTACTTACAAATGGTCAATGGTACTCACCGGCATTCTACTCGCACCCTTACTTTTTTGCACCTATTCTTCGCTGTTAATTTTTTCATAATCTTTCCTGTGTTTCCAGAAGTCTGCCAACCGTTCCAATACCGAGGATGCGGCGGAAATTCGAATCGGTTTGCCACATCCCAGGAGTGCAAGGATGCGTGCCCTGGAGGAGCCAAGGGGACCAAGAGCAATGACGCCCCGGCAGGGGCAGCTCTGGCTGGAAGTGATGCAGTGTTCGTGCCGAGAGGAACATCTCACGATCAATGGATGAAAGGTTTGCTATTTGATCCCCATCCCAATAAGCATGAATTTAGACATATGCATTCGGAGGGCCATGAAAATTCGACCTCTTCTCGTTCTGATCGACTACGAATGCTTTGAAAGGCACGGATCGGGACTAGGAACCCCTTCTTACAATGCTGTGACTGGTTGTGCAACCGCAGATAGTGATGGCATGATCCTAACTCGGAACCGTGACGTAATTACGCTCCCGCCTAGTATTCAGCGCTTTGGCCACCTGACGGCTATGACGCCTACCGCAAGAGACGGTGGGTGGTTGGCATGGGCCTGAAATAGCTGGGTAGGTTCGATCATCGTGCGACTATCGGCGCGGAAATATGTAGTAGTGGCTGACATGTTTGTAAAGCTCGTTTGGAAACACCTTCCTCATAAGCCGGCCTCCCTCATAGCTAACCCGCTATTGAAGCGATGGAGGTGGAAGGATAGAGAGTTTTTGTTTTTCATGTGAGGGTTTCTTTTCCGGCTTTGACGGTGCCCCATTTCGCATCTTTGCAATCACCTTCGGGCGCAAAAAATGCCCCAGTTCGATCCGACTCCTGGCCTCAAAGGCAAATAGCGAGAAGTTGATAGCTTAAATGTGTACAAGTGGTAATGGTGCACCTGAAAGAAAAACCAAGGGAGACGGCCAGAACCCTTCTAGGAGTAGAAGAATAAAGTGTCAAAATAAATGTTGACCGGTTGAAGCCAAACACCAGCATCTGCGGCGATGACCGATGTAACGGTATCTCTACTGTTGAGGAACGGAATTAAACTTAGGCAGCTTTCTCCGAACATCTTGCCACTGCTACACCTTCCATGGGCGGCTTTGCCTGAAAACCAGAAGGAATACCAGAAGGAATTCTGGACACCTTTGGCGTCTTGTCACGCCGCCTATAGTGCGTCTTTCACAGTGAGATCGTTAAATACCGTCAGGTTTGACACTGTTCTACCCTCTCCACTGCATATTTCTCTTCCATGCGCAATCCTTCATCGCGAATTTTGCCTCTAATTTGTT